TTTCCAAGATCTAGCCATTACAAATTGTGCCGCTATAAACATGGGTGCACATATATCGCTGTGGGAGGATGTTTTCAGTTCTTCTGGGAAGATTCCCAGAAGGGATGGCTGAGTCCAATGGGACCTCCAATCCTTGAGGAATCTCCACTCTGATTTCCACAGTGGTTGCACCAGTCTACATTCCCACCAACAGTGGAGAAGGGTTCCTTTTTCCCCAGAGCCCCTCCAGCGCTTGTTATTGTTCGATTTTCTAATAGCCGTTCTTTCCAGGATGAGATGGAGTCTGTGTTGTTTAAATTTGTGTCTCGTGAATGACCAGTGATGTTGAACATTTTCCATATGTTTATTTGCTGTTTATATTTCTTTATCTGAGAAGTGTGTATTCATTTCAGATGCCCATTTTTGGATTGGGTCTTTAAATTTGGGAGGTCTACTATTTTTGAGTTCTTTACATGTTCTGGATAGTAATCCTTTACCTGAGGAACAGCTGGCCAACATTTTTTCCCATATTGTGGGTTGCCTCTTCACTCTGTTGGTTTCTCTTGCTTTGTGCAGAAGCTTTTTACTAAGGTGAGGTCCCAGTTGTTGATTTTTTGTGATATTTCCTGTGCAGTCGGGGTTTTATTTATAAAGTCTGGATGAAGATATTTTTGTCTTTATAAACATTTCTTTGCAGATGATGTACAAATGGCCGCTAAACAGATGAAGTTATCCTTAACATGACTAATCATGGGAGAAATGCAGATCAAAACTACAGTGAGATTCTACCTCATACCCATTAGGGTAGCTACTACCAAAAACAAAATAAAACACCAAAAAAACCCTGTAAAATAATGCGTTGGCCAGGATATGGAGAAACCGAAACCCTTGTGCACTGTGTGTGGGAATATAAAATGACACAGCCAGTTGGAGAACAAAAAATTAAATGCAGGATTACCATGTGATCTAACAATTCTGCTCTGAATATATACACCAAAGAATTGAAAGCAGGGTCTTAAAGAGTTAGTCTTCATATTTGTAGAAGCAACATCACAATAGCCAAAAGGTGGAAGCAGCCCAACTTCCACTGATGGATGAATGTAAAGCTGAATGTGGCTTATTGTTCACCTTTACCATTATAGTGGGATTGAACCTTGAGGACATTCTGTTCAATGACGTAAGTTAGTCATCCAGGGCAAACTGCAATTCCATGCATATATGAAGTCCCTAGAGTAGAGGAAATCATAGAAGGTAGGTTGCTAGCCACTAGGGGAGCCAGGAAGGAGAAGTTAGTGTTTCATGGGGACAGTTTCAATTTGACATGAAGTTATGGAGTTGGATAGAGTGATGTTGTACAACATTATGAATGTATACTTAATGCATAAGATGGTACCTTTTGTGTGTATTTTTCCACCACCACAAACAAAAAAGGGAGAGAAGAACTTACTTCCAAGATCGATTCTTACTTCCATCCCTAAGTGGCAGTTGTGGAGATGGCTGTGCTGCAGAGGAACCCTGAGGGCGTCCCTCCCTAGCACCTTGTGGCATCCTTGGACCACTCTGAGGAGGAGGCTGTCTGCCTTGGCAGGTGCCCGTGGGTGTTTGGCTGCCTATGTGACCAGGTAGAGCTGGAGGGGTCTGGACCCTCCCTGGGCTTGTTGGACAGGAAGGGAAGAAGGTAGCTCTGCATGGCAGGGCACAGCATTGGGTTCTGCTCCCTAGACCCTTTTTCCTGCAGTCTGCAGGAGGAAATAACAGGGCTACAGAAGCACCTGTTTGTAGACATTGCAGTCATTTCCATGCTGGCCTGGAGCCCCATGCATTGTGGTGTTAACATTTGTTTGCCACATGTCAGCCTGTTAAGGACCATCAGAATGTCCCTGTTCTTGGTTCCAGCAGACTCCCTGACCCTGTTGCTAGGTGCGTTTGTCTCTCTTGCCTTCACTCTGCAGGCCACTGGAAGTCAGCAGACTGTTTCTATGAACAGGCAGGTGGTACGTACCTTTGGGTTGTCGGGCAGTAGAGATTTCCACGTGGGAGCCAAGCCTGAGAGTAGCCACTACCTGTGCAAGATGAGCGTGGCTGTGTACCAACAAAGACTGTTCATGAAGCAGGCAGCATGCCCCGGACTGTTCATTGGTTACCGTGGGTTACTGTGACAAGTGAAGAACAAATATCTACTGTGAAGTTATACCTGGTTGTCCCTTAGTATCCATGAGGGATTGGTGTCAGCAGCACTGGCTCTCCCTGTGGTTACCCAAATTCATGGATGTTTAAGTCCCTTGTATAATATGACACAGTATTTTCACAAGTCCTGCACACACTTGTGTAGCCTGAAAATCATGCTGCCTGAAGCACTTAATGCAATGAAAGTACTGTCTATAGATGTTGTACCATGTTGTTTAGGAAATGACAAGGAAGAATTTGTATATATTCTGGGTGCAATTTTTTTTTCCCAAATACTTGCTTTCTTTTTTATTTTTATATTTGGGTAGCCTTGGGGATTGAACCTATGACTTTGTACAACCTAGGCAAGTGCTCTACCACTGAGCTACATTCCCAGCACTCAGATATTCAGTCTGTGGATGATTGAATCTGTGGCTGTAGAAACTATGGATATGGAGGCCTAACTGTATGTTTTTAAAACTGAGAGACTTAAAAGTTATCAGAACACCAGTTTGCTCCTCATATCCTGCAAGACAGAAACAATCAAGATGTCAAGCTGGTGATGATGGCAAATGCAGTGTCGCTGGGGAGCCAGGGATGAGTGCTGCTTAGGGTAGATGTGCTGTAGACCTGTCAGATGTCCAGCCGTTGATAGTGGAGCTGTACTTCTCTGAGGACCTGTGCTGTGGCATCTACCTCAGGAAGCGGGCTGCAGAGTGTATGGGGCCACTGTTTCATGCTGGTGTCATGCTTCCCTGGCCCCAGCACCCCAGGGATGTGTGGTAGCCTGAGCTTTGGTTGGGCCATACCTGAGTGTTCTTCCAGCTTTCTATATTATAACTAAAACATTTATGTTTTCCTTGCACTCTGTGCTAAAGCAATGGTTTTGGATCTTTTTTTTTTTTTTTGGCTTTTTTTCTCCAGTACCAGGAACCGAACTCACGACCTTGCACTTGCCAGGCAGGCGCCTTTGCCGCTGAGCTAAATCCCCAGCCCTGGATCTTTTTTTTTTTAAACTTGGAGTTAAATCAAAACGGCTCAAATTCTCATTACATAAAATCCTTCACCTGGGCATGGTACTGCACCCCTGTAATCCCAGCACCTCGGAAGCTGAGGCAGGATTGCTGTGAATTTGAGGCCAGCCAGGGCTACATAGTGAGTTTAAGGCCAGCCTGCACTACCAGGTGAGATCTTGTCTCAGAAAAACCCCTTCACTGAAGCTGCTTTGTCTAATAAGGTGTCTAGAGTCCTACCCCTACTGGATTTCCTCATGTTGAAAACAACTGCCTGAGCCCTAAAATTGAATGTTCACAGTGAGCTGGACAGTATGACAGGGACCTTTCCCCCTTATTCTCGGGTTGTTGGGTGAGGGTTCTCCATGGGCCATAGAGCTCTACAAATGATTATGTGTAGAGGCAGGGTACCTATTCCTCACTGCAGAGAGAGATCACAGTGTCTTAGGATGAGTGGACTGGCCTGGCTGCCCCAAGTGGGGTTGTGATGCTCGTCTCTTCCTTCTCAGCCCTGTGTTCTTTCTGCAGCACACAGTGTGGGGCATTTGATAGGGTGAGAAGACTTCTTGGGCAGAGTTTCTCATGCCTGAGGCAAAGAGTCTGGGTATGCAGTGTCTCAAGACCTTCTAATAGTTTCAGGTTTACTGCCTGTTGTGTTGTTCTGCATGAAAAGTGATCTTGGAGGTGTTTTACTTCCTCTGCAGTTGATAACAAGTGAGGGAAACCTATCAACCTTGTACTGATGCCCACAAAAGTGTATCTGAGAGGGCGGAGTATGTCGATAATTTTAGTAAGCAGATTTTGTAAATTGTTTCCAACCTCTGAAAACAGTTGAATTGTATTTCTTTTCCTCTCTGTCCCCTTTTGGATTTTTTTTTTTTTTTTTTTTTTTTTTTTTTTTTAGCTTGCTTGCCTTTTGTTTTAGCAGCTGCAGTATCTCGGAAGAAAAAACGAAGAATGGGAACCTATAGCCTGGTTCCTAAGAAAAAGACCAAAGTATTAAAGCAGAGGACGGTGATTGAGATGTTTAAGAGTTTAACTCATTCCACTGTGGGCTCCAAGGTAAGAACAATGTGTGAGCTGTTTGCCGTGATGCTTGTTTAGTACGTCTCTGTCTGGGCCTATTTTGGCTGACGAACATCCTGTGTGATCATCAGTAATCTGATGAGTTTGGTCCTTGTGAAGGAGCCAGAGCTCTTGATACCTCTGCTGTAAGGCACAGCCTGAGTCCAGGTGGCCTTTGGAGACTACCATGCCCCTGCTCTAGCACCCGCTTGACTCTTCTCAGGTGCTGGGTACTGCTCGCTGCCTCTCTGGCCCTAGCAGGCTCCTGCACCTCCCATCATCTGAGGCTCACAGCAGAAGGGGATGTGCAGAGGCCCTCCTTGGGTTGTGCGCCTGCTGTGTTCCAGGGTGAGAAGGCCTTGGGCGACAGCACTCTGCATGTGAATGGGGAGAGCTTGGAGATAGACTCGGATGAGGATGACTCGGATGAGCTCGAGGAGGACGAGGACCATGGAGCTGAGCAGGCTGCTGTGTTCCCCACGGAGGACAGCAGAACCTCTAAAGAGAGCATGTCCGAGAGTGACCGTGCCCCAAAGGTAGGACCACAGTTTCTTGGGTGGGGGCTCAGGTGAAGGGAATCACAGAGTTGACTGCAGGTCCTGAGAGTTATTCCTAGGCTCTGAGGAAACTTCTTGTTTTTTAGGTTTTTTTTCTCTTTCCTATTTACTTTGACTTGGACTTTTGTGTTTTTCTCTAGAGTTACTAGCTTATTTTCACCTTAGGAGTGGTTATCTTCCTATGTAGCATCATTGGTGTAAGCACTGCATGCTCTTAAGCTCCAGGTTGGCAGGCATAAGAATATTAGTAACCCAAAGTATTTGCTGGGCATGGTGGTGACACCTGTAATCCCAGCACTTTGGGAGGCTGAGGCAAGATGATTGCAGAATGATTGTCTTTAGATTGTGTAGCCTGGAGCCGGGCGTGGTGGCACACATCTGTAATTCCAGCACATGGGAAGCTGAGGCAGGATAGCCATGAGTTCCAGGCCAGCCTGAACTACATTGTGAGACTTTGTCTCATAAATAAATAAATAGCCTAGCCTGGACAATTTAACAACATAGTAAGAGCCTACCTTGAAATAAAAGGTAAAAACGGGGCAGGTGATGTAGCTCAGTGTAGGAGTGCTGGGTTCAATCTCCAGTACTGCCCAAAACAAAACAAACCCAAAGATAACTGATGTCCTGCTATGCCCCTCCTATGGCTGGTTGTGTTTGACCATGCTTGCCTCATTGTATCCTTGAGTGGGTTCATGGAGGAGCTGCTGTACTAGTGCAGGTCAGGGCCTCTGCCCTTCCCTTGCAGATGTGTGTCCAGGGTGCTCTGTGGCCTGTGGCTGCTTGTGCAGTTGTGGAAACTCCTCTGTGTGTCCCCGTATCAGGGCACTCTGCACAGACAGCCCACCCTGTCTAAGGGTGAGCCTTGCCCTGCCTCAGCTTCCTGTTCCTCCAGCAGGCCTGGCACCATCAGCAGTTGCCCTAGGGCTCTGAAGCTGCTCCTGGGCCTATACATTGGCCCCAACATCTCAGGAAAGCATAAAGTTCTCAGAAATAACTTTCTGAGTGGGCTTTAAAGTTTAAGCGTAAATGTATACTCTTTCGAGAGGGATAAATTAGAAGTGTCATGTTTGACAGGGAAGAACAATGGGAGGCTAAGAGTCGTGCTAACGTATTTGTGGTTTATTGTCCAAACGTGTCAGACTTTTTTGAGGAAACTTAGAACCATCTTTACGTTAGTTATTCTAAACTGTTAGAATTTAGTTATTCTAAACTGTTAGAATTAGAAGTTCCTGGGGATGCTGTTCATTGATTTGTTTGAAAATTATAATCCTGTTGTTTAACTTTTGTACGTTCAGTAGGGTTTGTGCTGTGTGGGTACCTGTTTTTACAGGCTTTGAAGCAAATTTTTAAAATGTTAGCTGGGCATGGTGGTGCACACCTGTAATGCCAGTATGTAGGAGACTGAGGTGGGAGTCTTTGAGTTCTGACACTCAATCCCCACAATTTTGAGGCCAACCTGGGCAACATAGTGAGACCCTGTCTCAAAAAAAAACATAAACAAAATGTTACCCTCAACTCTTAATTATTCAAAATAAATTTGATGGAAAATGTTGACATTAGATAAAGTATTTTAAAGTTTTATTTATTTAAAACATTAGTTTTCTTTTGAGATAGAGAGTATAAGGAAGAAAACAAATAGCATTATAATTCCATTGTCCAGGTAATCCTCTGTGTACTTGCAATCCTCCCCTTCCAGGCAGGACAGCCATTTGGGAAGCCTTTTGTCTCATCCGTTATTTTAAGAACAAGGAGGAACCTATTCCAGAGTGGCAGTCATCTCTTTTCCCCCACTCTTCAGCACAGATCATCATTTCTGGTGTTGTTTTTTGTTTTCTTTTTTTAAGACAGGGTCTTGCTGTGTAGCCCAAGCTGGCCTCAAACTCACAACAATCCTCCTGCCTCAGCCTCCCAAGTGCTGGGATTACAGGTGTGCACCTCCACGTGCGGTACAAATCATCATTTCTGTGGCTGCATTTACTCCTTTCTGTGACTTTTTCTTTTGTAATAGGCAATTTTGTAATACTTCAGGGACATTTTATAGCAGACCTTGTTGAATATACTCATGGGTAATAAAAGTTATCAGCATGTTTTTGTTGTTGAGAGAGCATCTTGCTATGTAGACTAGGCTGGCTTTGTACCCTAGCCTGGCCTTCTCAAGTTCATGATTCTCCTGCCTCAGCTTCCTGAGTTCTGGGATTACAGGTGTGTGTCACCATATCCAGTTTTAAAACTTTGAATTTTGATGTCAGATCACGCATGCAGTTCCTGCTCTCCTACCTGCAGAAACCTGACTGTGGTTTTTCTCACTTTCTCAGGATATATATGGTGGGAATTTCTTTATTTTACTGTTAAATTATGAGTGAGACCCACAGCAATTTCTCATGTTTAGTAGCCATTGGCATTTGTTGTTCTGTAAGTTCCCCACTCTGTCCTTTGCCTGCTTTTCTGCTGGCTATACATCATTTATAGATGGGCTCCCAGGAGCATTGTATGAGCCTGGAGTTGATCTGTCGGCTTGATGTTCCCCACCTGCTGGTGTTTGGCCTGGTCTATAGTGTCAGACCTCAAAGGCACTGGTGTGTTCTAACTTCAGGGTTCTGTGTTCTAATTACCATGAACCCACCTGCCTTACTGCTGATTTTTCATAAATGGACACAAGCTGTCTTCTATACTTCTTTGATTTCATTCTTTCTGTATAAATATTTGATTCATATAGAATTCATTTCATGATAAAAAATGAGGTAGACATTCTCAAAGTGGGTGAGTTTTATGGTATATAAATTTTGTCTCAGAATTTTCAAGGTAAAATGTGAGGCAGGGGTGTTGGGATTTCTCTGAGTGGCCGAGTCAGTTTCTACTCTACCTCTTGCCTGGTATTCCTTCTCCAGCTAATTTAAAATGCCAGGTGAATCCTATACATACCAAATGGCATGTGAATTTATATATTTCTGGATTCTGTCTGAGATTCACATCTTTCAGAGAGGATATAGACACTGAGTAACCATAACTCTGAATATTTATAAAATAAAAAATAACTAACTTTCAAGCCAACCAGAGAAGCAAGATACAGAAGCTGAACAAATGTGAGGTTAAGCTGTGGGCTGAAATCACTTAAGATCCTAAATACAAAAGTCCTATATGAAACAATAGTCAAATGCAACTATGTAGTAAAATAATAATGACTTACTGGGCATGGTGGCATGTGCCTGTAATCCCAGCACTCCCCGCATTCAGGAGGATGAGGCTGGAGGATCACTGGGAGTTCAGGGCCAGCCTAGGCTACATAGTGAATTCAAAGCCAGCCTGAACGGCATAGTAAGACCTTGTCTCAACCCTTCTCCCTCAAATAATGATTACAAGGGACTAGGTGGGCCTTATTCCAGTAGGATATTGATTCATTACTAGAAATCTGTCAATAAGATTTACTAAATTAGGAAATTAAATGTGAAAAACTATGTGTATGTTCATGAAGTACTTTAAGCTGGGTATAGTGATATGTACCTGTGGTCTGGTTACTTATGAGAGCAAGGCAGGAGGCTCACTGGAGCCCGGTCAAGGTCAAGGCCAGCTTGGGCAGCATAAAGCAGGATTCCATCCTAAAGCAATAAAGAAAGAAAGAAAGTTATTTTATAAAGTTCAGCTTTATGTTCTTTAAATTTGGGGGATTATTTTACAGTTAAACATAAAAATGAATGTATAGTTGGGCAATGATAAAAGAACACTGTCCTTATATGAGCTCACCCAGGTCAGACCCTTGAGTTTCACCTGCCCTTGTGAAGCCTCCTGCCTCTCCTAAAAGTGACTGTCACCTGAATGCTACCACTGTGGAATCGTTTGGTTCAGTTTCAGTATGTTTGGGCTTTTTATATTATTTGTTAATCTTTATTGTTGCAGAGTAGGAGTTTTCTGCGTGGACTGGGTGAGAGTTTCTGGGTCACCAGGATCAGAACTGTTAACCATAACAATGCTGAGATATTGTCTGTCTCCCAGTCTCCTTCACAGGAGGGACTATGTTGTGGTTTGAATATTCTCATCCTGTATTTCTGCTACAGTAAATGTCTTCAGTATAACCCGTATTAACCAAAACTATTAATGATTTTCAGTAATTTTTTCAGAGTACATCCTGAGACCAGAATGTCTTGAGAACAACCATGATACAGTATTCCTTTGTAATTCTCTCCTGTCTTGCATGTCCATCTCACTTTTGGTGGGCACATTGGTAGTTTCTGTTGGCACCATTCCCAGTGTCTTTTTTTTTTTTCGTTTTGAGACAGGGTCTCGCTCTGTAGTTCAGGCTGGCCTTGAGCTCACTTTGTAGCCTAGGCTGGTCTGGAACATGCAGTGATCCTTCTGCCTCAGCCTCCCAAGTGCTGGGATTACGCCGTGTGCCACCACGCCGAGCTCCCAGTGTCAATGCCATTAGTATCCCCGTGCATGGCTGATTCCTTGAAGCACACAAGGTGGAAGTCTCCATGCCAGTGTTAAACCACAGACACTGCCACACTGGTGTGCCAGTTTACATTCCTGCTAGCTGTCTATAAGCACTCTGTCTGCTATGCTGACCTGCCAGGGTCATACCTGCCCATCTGCCGAGCATAAGAGTATGCATTCATTTTATTTTTAATTTGCACTTCTTTGAGTGTCAAGAAAATTGAATACTTTTCAGTATCTTTACCACATGGATAATTTGGTGAAGTGCCTATTCACATCTCAGTCACTCACCTATCACGTTGCTTGTGCTTTTGGAAAACCATTTTGTAGGTATTGTTTGGTCTGGAAATGCTGGTTACCATGATGTCTTCTTTTACTGTGGCTTGGAGGCTCATTGCAAAAACCATGATGGCTTAGGTGCAGTAGTCATTCTGGGTGCTGGTCAGGGGAGAGCTAGGCCCTTGCCTTGCCCTGCATCTGTAGCTGGGCGTGGTGAACAGAGTTGTGTCCCATAGTTGAGGACTGGCAAGGATGGCTGGCACTTGGCAGGGTCAGCTTTGGATCTCCTGCCAGCATCCCCAGGACAGGTGCAGGAGCCATATGTCTGCTTGCTTGCCTTCCCCCCCCTCCCCCCCGCACAGGTTTCAACTACACCAGACTCCGCTCCCTTACTTATTTAGTCCATGTCAGCTGTTGTCCTTCTTTCTTCTATTTACTTGGCATCTCAGCTTATGCTTTCTGTAGAACTGACATGTGTACATTTACCACGTGGCACCTTACAAGCTAACCTTCATTCCCTCCTTTATAATCCCTTTGCTGGAGTTTTGGGAAGGGGTAGAGTTAAGGTAGTTTCAATGCTTAGTCTTGTTTAAAATAAAACACTGCCCAGTGAGTTAAAAGAACACTCATAGCTGGTTGTGGTGGTACACTTGTAATTCCAGCACTCGGGAGCCTGAGGCAGGAGGATCACGGTGAGTTCGAGGCCAGCCTGGGCTACAGAGGGAGTTCAAGGCCAGCTTCAACTACAGAAGAAGACCCTGCCTTAAAAAACCAAAGGAAACCCCAAAACCAAAAACCAAACAAACAAAAAGAACAGTCAGAATTAAAGCTGACTAAAACAGTCAGACTCCTACAAAAAAAGTTTATATGTAATGGTAAAATTCGAAGTACTACTGTCATCAGTCATAAAATGAGAACAAGGTTGCTGCTTTCATTTCTTACATGAGCACAGTGGTGTTGACTGTTCTGTCTGATGCTATAAGAGAAGAGTCAGAAAGAAACATTAATATTTAAAAGGACAGAAGAGAAGAGTTCACTGAGAATGTTATTATCCATCTGAAAACCCAGGAAAATCAGCCAAAAATTACCACAGCTACTTTGAGCTGGATTTCACAGGATCAAGATTTGAAAACCAGTCATTTTCACGTGTAGCTAGAATAATCACTTAGAAAATGTGATGTTATCATCATCAATACAATCAAATACCTAGAGATTTTTAAAAAAGACTTTTCTAAGTAAAAAAAACATGGATGTCCAGATAATAGTGAAGAGTGAGCAATGCAGGAATAACTTTTAACAAAAATGATCTTCTCTTTATAAGGGAAATAGTAGAAGTTGGTTGAAAGAGGTTGAGAAGAGATACATGTTCATGGAAAAACCTGTCTTTTGTTTGAATGGGAATATGCATTGTGTCCCCCATAAGTTCAGAAATTTCCACCAAAGTCCAAGTAGAACCTTCTGCAAGGCTGCTGACTCTGTAGGCTGTAGAGACCCTTGACTCTGAGGAGTCAGGAGGCGAGAGCACAACAGATGTCACCAGGGGAACCACCTGCATGTCAGGGTGAAGACATGTGAGTGAGGCTCCCAGGCTTCCATGGCAGACCTGTGTGTATAAAAGAGACAGGCTTTGTTTGTTTGTTTTTGTAAGAGAAGGGTTTTAAATTAGTATCAAGGTGTCGTGAACTTTTCAGTAAATGTTACTGGAACAACTGACTTGATTTTTCACTGGAAAATAGAGGCCAATGCTTACATCTTGGTGTATAGTGAATGTAAACTCGCATGCCTGGCAAGCACAAGGTCCTAAGTTCGATTCCCGTTACTGGAAAAAAACAAACAAACAAACAAAAAAGTAAACTCCATTCTAAAGTTAGATAGTGGTTGCATCACACTGGTTATGGTTAAAAAAAACCCAAAAAACAAAAAACAACAAACCCTACTGAATTGTACACTTTAAAGGGTCAGGTGTAGAGTAGGTAAATTATATCTTCCTAAAGCTATTACTTTAAAAAGAATTTCAGAGGATTTAGTGTTTACACAGAATAACCAAACTGTGGAAGAAAGTGTTAGAAACTGGTTTTCTGATCAGGAGTGGGAAAGGCCTTTTAGGACAAGAAGCAGATGAATAGATAATGTGAGAATCAGAAGCAAAGCCCAAAAATCTTGATAGGAAAAATATAGATAGTGTATTTAACAGCTAAAGGTTTCTATCCTGAGTGTAGCCACTACAATAAGAAAGCAGACTGAGTTGGAAATTAACTGAGGATGAGGTCGTACAAGACCTAACAGAGAAATAGACGAGTCGTGGACATTACAACAAATACTCAGTTGTTCCCGTCATAGGGAAAGTGGGACCCAAGACCGTGGAAGAGTGGGTGCCTCTATGGGTGTTATTGGGAAGTTCCCACTGGAGCTGTTTTGCCCTTTGACTAAGGAGCCCCCCATTTGTCTGAGTCTGTGAGTTTATTCTGAGGATCATGGCTTGTATAAACAAAGCATGGCTCAGATGCGAAGAGTGCAAGGAGTGCAGGGAGTAGTGGAGTGACGGGGTGTGCACCCTACAGATCCAGATGGGCAGGCGAGGGCAGGAAGGGAAGTGTGCATGTTTCAGTGCTTTTGGCACTGAACATGTCTTTGTGCATTACTGTTGTAGATAGAAAAGATAAATACAGCACAAAAAACAAGATGTCTCATTCTAATGTGGAAAGAACTCCAAAGTGTATTTGTGATTAAAGAGTTAGTTCATAGAAAGAAGTGTGTCTGTTGCCTCCTCCTAGACAGACAGGGCAGCCGGCCCACTGTGGGGGCTGGGCTGGGGGTGCCATAGTAGAGCTGATTGCGGGAAGGGTGAACTGGGCTCTTACGTGGGTGGACATAGCTTGGGTATTGCTTTGTGGCCTGTGAGAATGTTTTTGCTATGTGTACTTTGTTACTTTTTACTGACACCTGTCCTTCCTTGAGTGTGCTGTCCTTGTTAGCATAGTAACTTCCAGGGCCCACTGGGTGAGTTTGAATGCACGTAAGAGTCCTCTTCCTGTCACGGTCTGGCAACATTGCCAAGGAGGAAGCCTGTCTGGGATGGGGAATCCTGTTGGGGAGCAGGAGCAGAAAAGCAGGGTATGTGTGTCTCATTCTCTGTCTGGACCTCCAACCCATCCTACTTCGCCAGGGTTGGCTAGGCAAGGCAGTCCAGTGACGGTGCCCCACACCATTCACCTGTCTCTAGCACATACCATCAGTGTGGTTTAAACACTGTGTCGGATCTGTTGGTCTACACTAAAGGAGCTAAGTGTTTGTTTTGTTTTGTTTTGTTTTTTTTGGTTTGGTTACCCTGGACATGTGGCCGCCCAGATGGATGGCGAGTCGGAGGAGGAACAGGAATCTGCCGACACTGGAGAGGATGAGGATGGTGGAGACGAGTCTGACCTGGTAATCTTGGCACGGGTCTGGTCACAGCTGAGGGCTGAGCAAACAGGTTGGGTGATCCTGCCCTAGGTACAGCAGTAGGCCAGGCAGGCATGACCCAGGGCTGCCTAGTGTAAGGCTCTGAGGGAAGGGTGTGGTCCCACTTGCTAGTGTATCATGCATGAGGCGAGTGTGGATGGAGTGACTGCTGTGGGCGGACTCGTGGGCTTTGAGGTGGAATGGACTGAGCTGCCAGAGTCAGGGATGTGAAAGGTAGGGTCTTGCTGTGCCTATGCTGAGGTCTCTTATGCGGGGCAGCTGAGGGACAGATATGGGGCCCGAGAGTCTGTGGGAGCATGGAGCCTAGAAACCAGGAAGCATGACAAAACCAAGTCAGGGTGAGGCATCAGGAACCCTCTGTGAGAGCATTGAGTGGAGGAGATGAATGGCCTGTGAGTTCCAGAAGGAAGGCTCTGTGCTGTGGGGAGAAGACCTGAGGCCAGGAACTAGTCTGGACAGGGAGAAGGTAGCCCTTGGTGCCAGCTTGCCACCTGGTGAAAGATACTAGGAAACACCAGACACTTTTATGTTAGGTCTTGTAGGGATACCTTGTTTCTTAGGGTGGTAGAGGGAACAGGGTCGAGGCAATGGCAAACTTTGTGTATAGCAGATTTAGAACTTTCCCTCTCCCCACAAAATTTTTCTGGGTTTGTAGGGACAGGCACTGGATAGTGCAGGCTTGTGTGCTGAAGATGGTTCCCCAGCACTGTCCCTTGGGGACACCTGCACAGACCTACGCACCAACCCCAAGGCCATGTACTGGGCCCTGGCAGGACATGGTCTGATCTGAGTGGCTGGTATGCTGTGCATCTTTCCATGTGTCAAGCACAGCATCCTGTGCATGTGTATGTGTGATGCGTGCCCTGATACTTTTCTGCTCTGTCAGCTTGCCTGTCCCTCTCTAGCACGAGCTGGGCCTAGGAGAGCATGCCAGGTGTCAGGTGTGATTCTTGCAGATACCTTATAGTATTGTTTACAGCTTCTTCCCATGTTCTCCATGTAGAGAATTGGTGTGGCATGGATTTTAGGGCACAGTGAGCATTGATTACTTCTTTCCTAATGAGCAAGACAAATGCATAATGTGATTAAAAGTGAAATCTCTTTCTGCACTTATTTACTTAGTTCCTGAGTATAATTTTCCAATGTATTCTTTTGTGTCAAACACAAACAAAAGTTACAAACTCCACTTAATTTTCTTGGCTCTTTTACCTTCAATAGGACTGAGTTTAGAGACATGGTTAAGGAACAGCCTGGGTAGCTTTAGAATGTGACCCAGAGAAATGTTTAGAAGTGAAGTGAATCATTTAGAGAAAGAATCAAGATAAGCAAGTATTTTATTTTGCAGGCAAACAACTCCTAGTCCTTTTTGCTCTCAAGAGCGTCCCCTGCTTTGCTTCTGACGTACCTGCCCTTTGGTCCTCCAGAGTTCTGAATCCAGCACCAAGAAGAGATTTCTCAAGAGGAGAGGAAAGGCTGACAGCCCTTGGATCAAGCCAGCTCGGAAAAGAAGGCGGAGGAGTAGAAAAAAGCCAAGTGGTACACTAGGTAAGTGCAGAGGACTGTGGGGCTCAGAGACCAATCTAGGGCTTGAAGAGGGTCCATTATTAACAGGTGTTTAAAGTGACACTCTACTGGTTTCCTTCTGATTAATGTAGTTGATCCTGGCCTCATGCTGAACACTTGTCCAGGGTGACTAGCAGTCTGTGACTGGTAAACATTCCTAGGCTGCATGGAGGGATGAGGTCTGTGGCCACGTGGCTTTTAGGCCTTGGATTGGCATTTCCTGTTCTGGATGTAATTTGTTAAGGTGAATGCAAGGAAGGGAATGACCCTTCAAGTTAGAAGGGGTTAAATGGCTCATGTGTCAAGGGTCATTTCTTTTACAGGTCCATTGAGGTGGACTTGGCACAGTTCATGAGTTAAGAGATGTATAACCATACCATATAAGAAGCCAGCCTGGGGTATATAGTGAGTTGTATAACCATACCATATAAGAGATGTATAACCATACCTCAAGAGCCTCTGCCTTCTACTGCCATCCCTTCCCTGCCCCAGGCAGTCTTGATCTGCTTCATTTCTGTGGGTAGTTAGCACTTTGTAGAGTTCTTTGTGAATGGACTGGTTCAACATGGACTCTCCTTTCCTCTGATTCCTTGGAGTTTCATTGTCAGGCTGGTTCCTGTCCATTGCTCAGAAGTGTCCCATCATGTGGCCATGACGTATGTGGCTGGCTCACCACCAGCTGTGGGTGGGCCCTGGGCTTTTCCTGCTTGGGTTGTCAGAGAGGGAGCTGCTGTGGATGTTGGTGTGCCCTCTTCCTTGGATGGCACTACCTAGGAGTGGCATGGCTGAGTCATGTGTTGTATGCTTGATTTTTGTTGGGCGGGGGGACGACTGCCAACCTGTTTCTCAAGGCACAGGTCCTGCTTTCTGTTCCCATGCAGCACTGTGAGATCAGCTCCCTTTTGTCCTTACCAGTGCTTGTTAGGCCTGTCCTGTTACGTTTTCTTTTTGTTTGCTTTTGTTTTTGTGAGACAGGGTCTTGCTACATAGTTCAGACTGACTTTCAACTCACTATATGCCCCAGGCTGGCCTCGAACTCACAGCAATCCTCTTCCCCAAGGCTCTCAAGTTGTGGGATTACAGGTGTGTGCAACCCACCATCTCTGGCTTTCCTCTGAAGTTCAGTGGGTTCCAAGGCTGGACAGTGGTGTCTCTGTATAGTTTCAGTTTGCTTGTATTTTATGAATAATGAGGTTGTGCTTTTTCTTTGCTTTTGTGTTTTTCCTTTCTGAAGTGTGTTGTATCTTCTTTTGCTCACTTCAGTCAAGGGTTTGTCTTCTCATTAAGTTGTAAGGGCTCATTAAATATTCTGTATTCAAGTCTAATCAGATGGATGCTTGCCTATGTTTATAAGTAGTCTGTGGCCAGTCTCTTCACTTTGCTAATGGTATGTTTATTTATCTATTTATTTAAAAAATATTTTTTTAGTACGGGGAATCAAACTCAGGACCTTGTGCTTGCCAGGCAGGCACTTGTGACACTGAAGTATATATCCCCCCCCCTTTTTTTAATGGTATGTTTAGGGTAAGAATGACAGTTAAAATTTTTTGTTGAAGTTTAATTTATGAATTTTTTTTTATGAGTCTTGTTTTTTGGGCTTGAAGAAATGTTTAACCACCAGGTGTGGTGGTGCACACCTATAATCCCAGCACTTGAAGAGGCTGAGGCAGGGAGATCACTTCAAGTTTGAGGGCAGCCTGGGCCTCACAGTGAACTCAAGGCCAGCCTGAATTACACAGTGAAAGAAATCTTTGACCAAGCCAGGTCACCAAGGTTTTGTTCCGCATTTCTTGTGAAGTTTTTCACTCACGGCGTGTGCACATAGTCCTTGGTACATTTGGGGGAAGTGTTTGAGTGCAGCCAGAGGCAAAGATAAGCTTCCCTCCTGAGACCGGCAGTTCATTGGCTTATTGGTTGAGCTGACTCTTCTTTCCCTGTTTAGTCACGTTTGTTGACAGTCAGAGTGTGGGCTGTTGCTGTGCTTTCCAGTCTGTTCCATTTACTTACCTTCATTCTACCACAGAGCTGCAGCGCTTACTCTGTTTCTTCTTGCTTTAGGTGTGCTTCTGCCCTCCTGACACAGGGCCAGTGTTGACTGGTGTCTGGGGGGCCAGACTCCTGGGTCTATTGGAGTCATTATTGGGTGGGCCCTGAGCTTTTCCTGCTTGGGTTGTCAGAGAGGGAGCTGCTGTGGATGTTGGTGTGCCCTCTTCCTTGGATGGCACTACCTAGGAGTGGCATGGCTGAGTCATGTGTTGTATGCTTGATTTTTGTTGGGGGGGGGACGACTGCCAACCTGTTTCTCAAGGCACAGGTCAAATGCCTGTGAGACTGTCCTGTCCTTTCAGTTGTGTTTCCTTTTCTTTTCACCTTGGATTATGCACTGAGCCCAGAATACCAGTATGGGTTTACTGTTGGCTGGCAGAGCACATTTGTAGATCTAAGACTAAATGTTTGGAGGATAGAGATTTCCTCTTTGTCATCTTGACTGTAACTTGTCAAATGCATGCCTAAATATTTACTCACATAGGAGTTTGAATTTTATTTCTATATGTGAAGTGTTTAAAATTACTTAAAGATTTCTCACGTTCTTCATGTGTTGATGATTTCTCAAAAGTGGTTGACTTTTCCTGTTTGTCTAAGATCTAGGTGCAGAATACAGTGTGAATTAAAACACTCAGGAACTGTGCCTCAGTATTAATGGTTCAGTATTCTCAGTCACTGAAACAGTATTCATGACCAGTATTAAGAAGCTTTACTGTAAAGCATGGTCATTTGCCCTTTGCTGGTGTTAAATATTATTTGTTGTAAATGAATACTTTTCTTAAACTTCCTTAGTGAAACACCCTAAAACTTCAAATACCCAATTTTTTTATGTCTGCCCTCCTGGGAAATGTGGACAGGCTGACTTAAGTGACATCCCACTTACTGCCATCCCATGTCGTCAAGGATGAGGGGGCCACAGAAATCTCTCTGTGTACACCCCTCCATACATACCCTGTAGCCCTCATCTGCAGTACTTCTCCTTGGCATATTCAGGTTTTATTTCCTTCTAGTGAGTGATGTTCTTTTTCACAGACACTTTGCCTGTCCTTTGCCTGGGAATCCCAGGGTGACAGCCAGAACAGAGGGAAGAATGGTAGTGCCTTTATCCCCTGCAGATTTCCCCAGCTACTCTGCATGTTTGGGCTGTTTCTTTAGCTACTTACATCAGTTGGTCTTTCAAACATGTTTTATTTTAATGTGATTTACAGGACATATACCATATATTTAGCTATTTTCTGGATTATTTCATCATGTTTTATTTAGCTGGCAAAGTTCCAGAGAAATATGTATTCACATGTTAGTGCCTCGTTTTTCTTGGTCCAGTGGCTACCCAATTGTATGAGGTAGACATGAGGAATTAACAAAATGATGTCCAGGGGAAAAACAGCAGTGAAACTGGATGGCCTAAGTAATGGTTATTTCAGTTTGTATTCTGAATGTGTTCAGTAGAAATAGCCCCTTTCTGGGGAGTTAGCTTTGGTTGAGTGTGGCTTCCACAAGGTTCTCATGGTGTGCTTTCTGTGTGTAGGTTCCGAGGCCTGTAAGTTGTCACCAGGGAGCACCGAGCAAATGGCTCCAGGAGACAGCTCTGGGTATATGGAAGTCTCTCTGGACTCACTGGATCTTCGTGTCAAAGGGATTCTGTCCTCCCAAGCGGAAGGTGAAGATCAGTGTTGTAGCTGTAACTGGCACCACCATCTTGTTCTTTGTTTGCTGATCTCATCCTCTGTATTAACCTGATGCCCCCTGGTGGATATTAAAAGAAACTTTGATCAATTGCATCAGTTAGAGGTAATGGAACAGATATGACACAAAGTAGGCTTGCCAGGTCACTCACAGCATGCACACAGGACCAGGTTGCTGATACTTGTGTCTCAGGGTTTTCCCCACTGTGATACACTTTGTGCAGAGTCCCTCATGAAAGTATGTCCCCTGCCCCAACCAGGTCTAAGATTATAGCAGGCAGTGTAAATTTGAATCTGCTTTTGGGTGGCCCCTGGGTCTGGTTGGGAAGTGTGTTTTTAGCTGGTGCTGAGTTCACAGTTCTCAGGGATGTTCTGCAGTGGGGTGAAACATTCATGCCTTTCAGTCACAGGTACACCTGTGGCTCCTGCTGGAGGTTCTTGTGTAGAGGCCATGGAGATTTGCCCTCACTTTTCCCTCTCTTTTTCCCTGTTGTGTCACCTGAAACACTTCTGTCAGTGAAAAGTAACTGATGGTTCTGGGAAACCTCTGTGAAAAGTTATGCAAGGGAAAGTATAAAATCCCATAGCTATTTACATCCACATGGATTTTACAAATATGAAGTTGTAAATTACTATAGGAGTTTAAAAATTTTTTTCGAGACAACAAATAACAATGCAGGGGCCAGAATGGTGAGTGCCAAATTAGAGAGGTTAGGAGGAGAAGGCCAATTGAAGCAGCTTCTTTACATCCCATGGCATTTTATAAACTGGCCTCTTAAAATGTATTTTTGTTTGATAAATGAGCACCGATTGGTCAGTGATTAGTATGTTCTGTCATGCTTTTGATTTAGAGAATCAACATCTTGAAGAAAAAACAGCACTTTAAGCTCGTGCTTAAAGTGTAGAGTTTGGGACCTGAAGAGAGGTAGTGGTAGAGCCAACATTTGGACAGCGGAGGCCTTAGGATTGTTGATTGAATTTGGCCAGTGAGGGCAGGTGGCATTCTAGTCATGGTTCAAGAAGGCCTGGCTTAGCCAGATGTGGTGGTTGCACGCCTGTAATCCCAGCACTTGGGAGGCTGAGGCAGGAGGATCACTGTGAGTTCAAGGCCAACTTGTGTCAGAAATACTGATTTACTTTGAATTCTGCTTTAGCTTTTCAAAGCCAAGTGAGGAAAATAGTAAATGCTTTTTGTATGTACAAACCAAGATTTTAGAGTTGCTGATGCAGATGTGGCTTCTCTCTTTGGCTTATGGCAGGGGCCCCAAGGACATGGATTAGCACACGTTTTGGGGACTAGCTGGTGGTATATGGGGAGACAGGTTTACATTACCCTTACATTATGCAGGGCAGTGTGCAGCAGGGCAGTGTGCAGGTGTATGTCCTTCGAGCAGTGCTGCTGTGCTGTACATGGTGTTGCTCATATTTCCCTACATGTACAGTCACTGTAAAGACATAGATTGCTCTCAGTTGGCCCTTTGGTGGTCAGGGTTGCATAAGCTGATGCCTGTCTGTGTGACTAGGGCTGGCCAATGGTCCAGACACGCTGGAGACAGATGGCCTCCAGGAAGTGCCTCTCTGCAGCTGCCGGATGGAAACCCCGAAGAGCCGCGAGATCACCACCCTGGCCAACAACCAGTGCATGGCCACTGAGAGCGTGGATCATGAAGTAAGCAAATTTGTTTTCAACTTAAAACAGGAACAGAAATGTCATGTGCAGAAAGCCCAGTCCTTCCCGTAAAGCCACAGACTCTGGTAACCAGGGAACCCAAGTAGGCTGTGAACAGAACTATTTGAGCAATTAGCTTGAGATAAGAGTCCACATGGACTGCTACCTGGCCCTATTGCTCCTGGCAGGACAATCCTAGCCCAGAGGGCCAAGCATTGGTTCCTCGAGCTGTCACTTCCCTCTGATCTGTGACTCAGGATTTTCACATCTTGTTCCCTCCAGAACAGAGAGATGCCTGTGCTGAGAGGTTTTCAACAGCTTTTGGACAGGATTTCTATCAGCCCTTATAGCACCATTCCTGCAGCTGGCTGTGGGGAGGGACTGAGTGATGGGCTGGTTGGTATGAGCCTGATAGGTGCCTTGTATAGTCGCCTGGCCCTCAGCGCCCTCCACCCTGGCCTCACATTCCTGTGGGAAGGACAAGGCCAAGGTGGCACATTGTTCATCTGCTCCCCAAGGAGTGCTTCTGGCTGTCATTTCAATGAGGTTTCTAGTTCTTCTGTTACTGAAGCTATTCTCATCAACTAAATCATTGAATCTTTAGGATGCAGAATTAGCATCAGCAGCAACTTACCCAGCCTCCCTGCTGATTGGGTGTTGTCCTGAGACTTTGTACACAGAACTCCTCGCTTTCCCAGGTTAGGGCAGAAAGGCAGGTGGTGCATCTGAATCAACAGCTCCAGGGAAAAGCAGGAATGGATCTGTTGTCAAGGTCAGCTGTGTGTCCCAGCTTTGGGGTGATGCTTTTGGAGATTGGCCCAGTGGCTCTCACCTCCAGTGCTTATTGACATAGCTAGAGTTGCTGATTCAGTAGATCTACCAGGTCTTCCTAGAAAGTTCCAGTTTCTACCTGTACTGCTGGTCCTCGGACCACACATATAAAGAATCCCTGGTCCTCCCCTTACCTTGCTTTGACAGTGGTGTTTGGAAGATCTAAGGGGATCACATCTCTGTTTAGAAGCTTATTTCTCGTATGAATTTAACATGCTGTACCCAGGTTTGCAGTCTGAAAGGCACCCCAGAGGAAAACATCAGCATCTGCTTTGCTCATCTTGTCCCAGGCTGGATGGTGGCCTCCGTGGCTCTCACCCAGCAAGGCTTCTCACAGATGCCTAATCCCCCTCTGAAAGACTAATGTTACTTGCCACAGCTTTGTCATATTTGATCTCCCCACCGAGACCTTGCATCTGTTTTTTTTTTTTAAAGGAAGTTTTCAAATGAGAAAGTTGAAAGTGTGGCTCACCCTCCATGCATTGCTCAGACTTGGCCTTTGCCAGCACTGGTCTTGCCTTCTCACTGCTCCTGGTTTTCAGCTACCTTTTTTAAGCTAACCCCATTTTAACACTACATGTTTCAGTGTGAATCTCTATTAGGAAAAACACATGTTCTTACATAAAAGCAATGCACATGTTACATGTGGGAATAAAAACAGCTTTGTATTTTTAAGTAATTCCTCATGCATGGTCAGTCCATTCATCATGTTTGTCGTCCTCCAGTGTCAAGTCTTTTACATCTCTTCTAATCAAGAACATTCTCTCTGCCATCCCTTCTCCAGTTTTTCATACCTATGACCTGTTAAGGGAGCTGAGTCCAGATTCTGGGTTCTGATCTGTGACTCAGGATTTTCATAGCTTCTTCCCTCCAGATCAGAGAGATGCCTGTGCTGAGAGGTTTTCAACAGCTTTTGGACAGGATTTCTGTCAGCCTTTAGCGCCATTCCTGCAGCTGGCTATGGGGAGGGACTGAGTGATGGGCTGGTTGGTATTTCTATCAGCCCTTAGTGCCATTCCTGCAGCTGGCTATGGGGAGGGACTGAGTGGCGGACTGACAGGTGCCTTGTGTAGTCACCTGGCCCTCAGTGCCCTCCACCCTGGCCTCATATTCTCTGTGGGAAGGACAAGGCCAGGGTGGCACCTTGTTCATCTGTTCCCCAAGGGGTGCCTCTGGCTGTCATTTCAGTGAGGCTTTACACTTCTGGGGTTCTTCCTGAAACTAGTGGCTAGAATTCTTTGGTGTAAATGAACTTTCCCTCATTTGCTAGGGCTGTTTTGATATCTCTGAAATAGGTTCTTTTA